GGACCAGCACCACCATAAGCACCACGATCAACACCATGGCACCAGGCACCAAGACCAGGACCGACACCACAATAAGCACCACGATCAACACCATGGCACCAACACCAAGGCGGGACTAGCACCACGGTAGCACCAAGACTAGCACCACCAACAACGGCCAGTGGCACCATGCACCGACCAAATCGGCCGTGCTAGAGAACTCACCAGGACCCGGCACCACCATAAGCACCACGATCGGCCACGATGGCACCGGCACCAAGACCAGGACCCGGCCACTGACCATAAGCACCATGGCACCAGGTACCAAGACCAGGACCAACACCACGATAAGCACCACGATCGGCACCATGGCACCGGCACCAAGACCAGGGACTAGCACCACGAGCGCACCAAGACTAGCACCGACAACAGCGGCCAGTGGCACCATGCACCGACCAAATCTGGCCAGTGCCAGGAGAACTCACCAGGACCGACACCACCATAAGCACCACGATCGGCCCAATAGGCGCTGATACCAAGACCAGGACCCGACACCACCATAAGCACCACGATCGGCACCATGGCACCGACACCAAGACCGACACCACGATAAGCACCATGATCAGCACCATGGCACTGACACCAAGGCGGGACTAGCACCACCGACACACGACCAGTGGCACCATGCACCAGCCAATCGACCGTGCCGAAAGAACTCACCAGGACCGGCACCACCATAAGCACCACGATCAGCACAATGGTACCATCACCAAGACCAGGACCCGGCCACCACCATAAGCACCACGATCAGCACCATGGCACCGAGCACCAAGACCAGGACCCGGCACCACAATAAGCACCATGATCATCACGATGGCACCGGCACCAAGGCCGGGACTAGCACCACGGCGCGCCAAGACTAGCACCACCAACAACGGCTAGTGGCACCATGCACCGGCCAAATCGGCAGTGCGGAGAACTCACCGGGACCCGGCACCACCAGTAAGCACCACGATCGGCCTAATGGCACCGGCACCAAGACCAGGACCGACACCACCATAAGCACCACGATCATCACCATGGCACCATGTCGCCGCCGTCTCAAAAGAGAGAAGGTCGGTCGGAGCGACGCGATGGTTTTTTCGATCCTCTTTTATTTTCGCGTTTTTTATTGGTGGTTACAATGCCTTTAGGTTGTCAGAATGCTAGGGCTAACTCTAGGGGCGAGGTTTTGCAAGTATCCACTGGGTTGTCCAGATGCCAGGGCTAACCTAGGGACTTATTTAATTTTGGGTTCTATGGAGTCGCCATAGATATTTTTACCATAAACATCGGAAAAGGGGTTTAAAAAGGCATTGGTTTTCGAAAACCAACTTTGGTCATTAGAACCGAGTTGGGTAAGGGAGTTAGTTACGTGTAAAGGAAGTGTTAGTTCCTTTACGATGCCCCTTTCGGGTTCCCTATGATAGGTAGGCTACCTTGAATAATTAAAGCTGAAAAAATGCGCTTTTACCCTTTTATTATGCGGAATTTAAGTTTATGACTACATGGCCCTAGCTTCTATTGCGTAATTTAAATAGCGGTAATAAAAATAGAGAGGGAGAATGTGCACCTCAAAGCGAGCTTTATATTTAAAAAGAGAGGGTGCATTTTGGTAACCCTTCACTCTACAACTCTCGAAACTCGGAAATGCCTCGGAGGGATTCTTAGAGAGAGAAAGTCTAGAGAGAAGGGAGAGCTTCTTGGATTACGTGTGGAAATGAGGGGGGAGGACCCACATGTCGCCGTAGATCCCTTCGGACGTCGGGAAGAGCGTCTCGAAAGCGTTTATGCGACGGTCGCGAAAAGATGGTTTAGACTCGCGTATTTGTTTTAAAAGGTTTTCGAAAAGAGGTTCTTATGGAGTCGCCACCAATGTTTTAACCTTAAACATTAGGAAAAGGAAAAAATGTT